GTTAGTTTTGCGCGTCTGGGGAGCCCGGCCCGGGAACGCGTGCGCCACGGCACCCCCGGGGGGTCGGGCAGGGTGGGGGTCCTGAGGGGGTGCGAGCGGTGGTGAGCGAGGAGTGCGGTAACCTACTAAGGGAGTATCCCGGGGGAAATGGGAAATTGCTCGCGGTCTGTTAGAAATAAGCAAGCAGGGAAAAAAGCGAGCCCTGAACTGACACAAGAGCAGAGGGACGCGAGTCGGCTGCACAGGAGCCTCTGTTGGAGGGGAGAGGATGCCTCAGCCATAGCTCAGTCAAGGTGTGGGATGATTTGCAGGCAGGGTTGTGGAGAGGAGTGGAAGAACTGCTCTTAAGCTGCCCTACGTACGTTTGTGGAAATGATTTGGGTAACAGAGGGTTCAAATCAGTGACCTGGGATGTCTTTTCTAGCCCAGTATTCCTATGTAGAATAGTGGGAACCAGTAGGTTTTTGTTGCTTTTTACTAATAGCAGGGAGATTCAGTAGTGCTCTAAGCATCTGAGCCTTCCAGTTTTCACCTGTTTCCCTCTTCCTTGCTGCTTGTTCTCTGCAGGCCTTCTTGGCTAGTTTCTGTTAACTCTCTCTTAAGTGTCAGTACTTTCTCTATAGATTTATGCAAAGTTTATCAGTCACATCCAGAAGCTTGGTATCTTGCCAGTGATTCCTGGTGAAAAACACAAACACCCCACAACATGGGCACACATATTTAATAAAGTTCTGCTATGTAGAAGGCATGCATGCAGGAAAGCTTTTTTGTTAATTAACATTTGCAGAGCTGAGGTCAGAGGTGTTCTGGGTCTCTTGTGAGAAATTGGTTCCATCTTGCACGTTCTCCATTATGTTGATTTTGACTTTTTTTTTTTTTGGTATGTGTGATTAAAATGAATCTGTGATTCAGTAGTAGTAGTAGCTAATTGTCATATATTTTTTAAGTGCTGATGACTGGGTTGTCTTCTTCAACAAGCATTTAGCAATAAGCAGATTGTACAAATGACTTGAAATTCCAGTCATCAGCAATAGGGAAGCATCTGGATACATTTGGTGTTTGTTTAGTTAGGCTAGCTATTAAAAATGGTAGGTTCAGAAGAAGCAAATACTTTTAACTAAAGAAAACTTGAGAAGTATGATACTAAGTACTCCATAAAATGAGCTGTGCCCACATGCAACTTACCCTTCAGCATGCAGGAGAAAGTTAAGTTGCTTAATGCTTACTAAGTGTGATCATCTTCTTTCAGCAAAAATGAAGAGGAGGACAGAACCTGAATTTGGCAGCCCCCAAAAGAAGCAGAAAAAGCGGATAGAAGACTTGGGATTAACCCTCAGTTCTACTTCAGAAGATGAAACTCAGTTTAGTAACCATGCTACTCAAGGTAAGATTGGAGGTAAGGCGTTTGCTGCTGTGGGGACTCTGAACACTAGGAACTGAACCCATGTCTCCTAAATGCCAATTGATAGCCTGAACTTACATGGCATACTCTCTCTCTAGGAAAGAAACTAAATTATTTCTGTTCACAAACTTGGATTGGGTGAGGTTTTTTTTAAGCTTTTTAAAAATCTCGTGTAAACAGTTTGGTCTGGGAATTGAATGTATTCAGACATAGGAAACAGAATTTGGGGTCGATGATGAGTGCAAGAAGGCTGAGGGAGGGAAGTGATTTCAGATCCAAGTCTCACCAGAGCATGACCTAGCAGATGCTAAAAGCAAGAGTTGTGAAGGGATTTCCTTGAGACTTAGGTAGTGGGTGTTGTTTTTGAGGCACATCGTGAGCCTCTGGAAAATAGGAGACAGCTCAAAAGCAGGCAGCAGAGTTAAGTGTGTTGGGGAAACAGAAAGTAGTAACTGACCCTAAAGCAAAATCTGTTGTGATCCTGTTCATATCTAAGAAATTTGTGAAGGAAAGAGAGATGTAGCTTGTGTGACAGACCTTTGAAAATCAAGATGGATATATAACATTGTAAACACAAGTTAAATCCCAGCTTTCCTTACCTTGAGCTGGAAGCCTCAAATGCTGATACTGTAAAACTGTACTACAGTAGTTATGTTGGGACACAAGTCTTGAATCTTAAAAGCTGATAGTTCAGGGGCAAGAACTGAGCACACACTGGAGGGATTTTAACTACAGCTGTACATTGCACTGTGGTGTCTTATTTTTACTTCACTATCTTATAATGGCCTTTTTTTAATAATTCCCCAGTTGTTCCCTGTTACTTCACTGATGCTCCGTTTTCTGTAACAGGAAAATACAGAGATACACAAGTTGGGAGAGAAATAATCTGTGTTTTTTCTTAAATCAGGAAAAAAGAGAACTTTACACCTTCCTTTTAGGTAGTTAAAATGTCTTAATGCTTCTATGGAGCTAAATAATTCTAGTTCGAGTGAGTGCCTGTTGTGTGTGGTGTTATTACCTTGATTGGCCTGCTGAGTTGATTAACTTCTTTCTCCAAACTTCATTGTCAGGATATTTTTAAACTAGATTGGTGTCTTCTGACACTATCTTTCACTGGGGTTTGTGTGCATCAGTTAACTCTAGGAGGTGAAAAACTGTCTCACTTGCTGTGGTGAACTTGTGGATTCTTGCTACTGAGGTGGGTAGTGGAGTCACACCGAAGTTTAATATGGGGACTGAGGGATTCAACTCCTTTTTTCTGCAGTGTTGGCCATTTGGTAGATGCCTCTGTACATAATGTGGATTTTTGGTTAAGTTAGGGTTGTGTTTGCACCTGTAGTTAGCTGGGGACTGAGGAATACCCAGTATGTTTTATCAAGGTGTCAGTGATTGTCATTATTAGTGGGAGACAATCTCTGTGGAGTTCCTCAGCTCCTCGGGATCATTACAGATGTCAGGCACAGCACAGTGTACAGTCATGGTCCTGCTGTGGCCTGCTCTGCTGCTCTGATTGGGTTGGCCTGGAATCAGTTGGCTCAGAGAGGTTGTGTGTGTGTCCCTGAGAGAGAGGGGTAGGTAATCAGGTGTTGGTTCCACAGGGTATTTTATATTACACCGGCATGCTTCCCATGGTGCAGTGGGGATAATGAAGTGTCCTCTTGATGACTCACAGTGTATAGTTCTTAATGTGATTACTGAGGTGTTTGTCTTCCATTTTATTTTTTTTTCACAGTCATTTTTCTCACTTTTGTTTGTTGTTCTTGTTTTCAGAGTCCTCCAGTAGCAGCAGTGGGTCCGACAGTGAGAGCGATGAGAAGAGACCAGTCTTCAGCAATGAGTTCAAACAAGACTCTCTTGTGGAGGGTACTTCGTCTCGGTACTCGATGTATAACAGTGTCTCCCAAAAGCTCATGGTAGGTCAAAATAGTTTTGTACCAAACTGCTAAGACCTGGTGGGAGCAAAGTGAAAAGACCAGTCTGTTTTAAGAGATTCTGACCCTTCTTGTAGCAGGGTTCTCTGCTTCTTTTAGCTAGCAATTGAAGGAGATTTGTTTGAAGGGGATCTGTTAAAAAAGAAACCTGATTCATGTTCAGGGTGTAGGAGCAGGGAGGTGAATGTGAAGGGAAGGATCTCTGGGTCAGGCAGCTTGCTGAGCTTGAAAAAAAGGGTCCCACTGTGTGTTACTTTGCAATATTTGAGTTAACAAATGCCTTTTAAGAAAGGCCTTAACAGATTCTGTGATTGACATTAATTTGTTTGGTCTTGGAGGCTGGCTGGCATGCACTTGTAGACTTATTACCAGAGTTATTAAGAAATTACATTTTCTTTTAAGTAGTGGCACTCTGCTTTATGTAGGGCCAGAAATTCCATGGTAATCCCAAATTTGACAACTCGTTCCTGAGTTTAAAGGCACTAGTAGGCTGTAGAGAAGAGGAATCTCTTCTGTGCATGCTGTTGCATTTATTTCCTGATGCAAACTTTGTCACTGTGGTGTGACGAGTGTCTCATAATCCTGAAAGAATTTCTATTCTTGACAATGGAGAAACAAAAATGTTATTTCCAAGGTCAGCAGATATATACTTGTGTATTACTTGAAACATGACAGGAAGTTTGGGACTCAGTGGGGGACGTAATTCAAGTCTCCTTTTGTTCTGTGCTGGTGCTGCAGTTGCAGGAGCAGGGGTCAGCAATCTTCCATGGTGGTAGGACAGCTTGTGCCTGCCTTTGCCAAGTTAGAAGTTCAGTCTGTTTCTAGAAGCTGGGAAAGGCTACCTGCTGCTGGGAGTGGGAACAGGGGGACCCTGCTTCTTGAGGAGATGGACACCGCTGGCCGTACTCTACACAAAATAAAAGAACTTTCAGATCTGGCTGAATTCAAAACTCGGTGAGGTCTGGAGGCTGAGAGCTGCTGATTGTGCCTCTCTGTAGATAAACCCTCTTGCTCATCATTCAGAAACTGTCCACGTGCATTTTTGGCACTCAGCTGCAGTTTGCTGATTCTAGCACAAGACTGTCTTTCACTTGGAGAGTTCTCTCCTGAGCCAGTTAGGATGTGTGCTCTGTCACCACAGTAGAGGAGCTTTTACTACTGAATTCGGGAGGCTTTTGTTTGTAAGGCCTCACAAATTTGAATATAAAGATTGAGGTGATATCAAATCCAGCTGAACGATTTGGTAGCATTAGGTGAGTAAAAGGGAAATAGAAAATAGTCCTTGGTTACTAGATGTTCTGTCCTCAGAACACTGCTGTCTGACAGGCTCAGTGGCTGTCACATTCAGTGCACCTATTTCAAGGTCTGATTCAGAGCCAGGTAGCAACAGCAGTGGGGAAACACTGTGTGCCTTTGTAGAGAACCTGTCAGATGTTGCTGTGTAGCTTTTCATACAGATTGGTAATAAACAATGTTTTTGTGGCTTCTCACAGGAAGGAGTATATGGATAACATTCATTCAAAGCAAAACTTAATCCTCAAGTCTTTTCTTTATTTACTATCTTGTAGATGCATACCTAGGGGGAATAAAATTGACTGTGTTCGTACTTTTTGTTGTTGCTCTTGTTGCTAAAATTTATGAAGAGAAAAGCCTGAAAAACTAGCAGCTAATGAACATATTTCTTTTAACCTGAGAAATAGGAATGTGTTTCAGGAGCAGCATGTCTTGCATTCCTCCTCTGAGTTTTAGATGAAGCTTTAGCTGATGCTTGAAATGTGTGTGAGTGCATGATCACAACAAAGAACATCATCACAGCGTGATTTTTTTTTTTTTTTTTCCTGTGCCAGCACCTTTTGTTTTATGAAGCTTCCATACTTACTGAACGCTGTGATGAATGGCTCCAGGCTCCTCACTGCTTATTCCTCTGAGCAGCCTGTTCCTGCATTACTGAACCTTTTGTAATTTGCTGTCATCTCAGGCATTGTTCTTCAGATGTAGTTCTGTTGTGTCCTGCTTCGGGGAAGTGAACTCAGCGTTAAGTCCTGAAAGCCACAGCTGAGCTTAAAAGTGCTCAATGCCTTCAAGTCACTTCAGGGTGATGTGCCATTTTCCCTGGTGGTCTTTGGCCCTGGTAGTAGTACATAAACTCAAGTCCCCTTGCCTCAGTGTCCTCCCTTTGCTTCCTTTATAGGCCAAGATGGGCTTCCGGGAAGGAGAAGGTCTGGGAAAATATGGCCAAGGCAGGAAGGACATTGTTGAGGCCTCCAACCAGAAGGGAAGAAGAGGCTTTGGGCTGACTCTCAAAGGATTTGATGGGGAGCTCAATGTTGATTGGCAGGATGAGCCAGAGGTAAGTATTTCCTGTTTTGAATCCCTTTTCTGTTACTGTGTTCAGGATTTACCCTCTGGAATAATGTCTAGTGTGGTCTGATACAACTGGCTACCATTAAGTGGCTCTGGTGGGTAGACCCAGGCCTTATTTTGTCCCAGAACAGCAGAGCAAAACTTGCTTTCTGTCACATGTATTCATGTTCTGGCACAAAATTGGTTTCAGATGGATCGTTGCTGTGGTCTCTAGGATTTGTTTTTGAGTAGTAATGAATATTACAGTAGTGAATATGATTGAAAATTGTTGCCAAATTCTTTTGGGTTTACAATTTTTATTTTGTATATAATTTTCCAGGACTGTATGGATGATTTAAAAAAAACCCATAAAAACAAAAAACACAAAACAACCAAAACCAACCAAACAAAAAATCCCAAACAAACAAAAACCCCAAACCACCAGAACCTTTTCTGTGTGTATTTAATAGCCCCAAATAAAATGCTCAGCTCTTCTATTCTTCTGTCTTGTCAAGCTCTTAGATAGGGAAAAACATTGGGAAATAGAAATAGATGTTGTCTGGAAAGTAAAGCCAAGTTCTGATATTATTTGGTGGAAAGTAGCTGCTGTATATTTGTATTTAAAATGAAAAAAAACAAACCACAACACTGAATCCTGGGGATCTGGTGGCTGGAGAGTGAACCAGAAGGTCCCAGCTGCTGTTAGTCAAGGGCAGCAATGCTTGTCAAGTCATGTATGGTGCATGGTACTTGGCTCTACAGTCTTTGAATTATTTTCAGCAGCTGCATATAATATCAGAGGTTATTCTTTTAGAGCCAGGAATTTGAGACCTCTTCTGTAGGCTTATTGGTTCTGATCTCATTCTCTGTTGTGTTCCTACAGCTCACAGCAGTTAAGTGTTATATATGATTAACCCTTGTGGGTGATATAATAAATACTAAAATACTATAACAATTACTAGCAGCCTGTCCTTGTGGAGGTGTGGCATCACTTTGATCTAAACTGCTAAACTAATTCCTTTCCAAGATTATAAAAATTGTTCAAAGCCTTAATTATTGTGGAATGAGGAAGCCTTTCAGAAAGAGCTGGGAGAAAGTGCTTTACACATTCTATCAGGAAGTGTGGGTTTTTTTGGCATCTGTCTCTTTTGCAGTGTCTCTAAAATGTACCTTAAGAGTCCTAGGCTTTTGCTTTGTGTTGATTTATCAGACTCTCATGAGAGGAAAGTGCTGTGGGGTTTTTCACATTGGAGGATTGTTTTTTTTTAATGTGGGTTGTTTTTTTTTTTTTTTTAAATTTTAAATCCAAGCAAATAAGATATGCTTTAGATGAGGAGAAAAAGACTCTGTGGGTGGCCCTAAAGTAATGGCATAGAATCGTTTCAGTTGGAAAAGACCTTTAAGGTCATCAAGTCCAACCATTAACCTAATGATGACAAGCCCACCACTAAATCACTCCCTGAGCACCACACCTACATGTCTTTTAAATCTGTTCAGGGATGGTGACTCCACACTTCCCTGGTCAGAATGTTCCACTGCTTAACAACCCTTTCTATGAAGAAGTTTTTCTTAATACCCAGTTTAAACCTCCCCTGGCACAACTTGAGGCCATTTCCTCTTGTTACCTGGGAGAAGAGACTGACCTCCACAAAGCATAACCCCTTATGATAGGATTAGGAGGCAGACTTTTGGAGAGCAATTTTAATTGTTAAATATTGCTAGCAAAAACATCTTTGGTTCTTCCCATGCCTTGTGTTTGCAGCCCAGTGCCTACGAGGAGGTGGACTGGTGCCTTGAGTGTACCACAGAAATCCCTGATGCCCAGGAACTGAAGGAGTGGATGACTGTGGGAAAGGTAATTTTTTCAGATCTCAGTACTTACCAGCCTAAGATGACCCAGGACGACTCAGCCTGAAACAATTCCCTTGTGAAGAGTTGTAGAATAACCTAAGCTGGAGGGAACCTCTAGAGATTACTGGTGCAGCTTCCTTTTTAAAGTGGGTCCAGCTAGATTGGGTTGCTCAAGATCTTGTTTGTTTGAATTTTGACTATTTCCAAGGATGGAAATTTCACAGCCTGTTTGGGCATCTATTTTGGTGTTTGATAAACCAGCTGACAAAAGGAAATTTTCCTGTGGCTAGTTGGCATTTTTTTTTGTTTCAGCTTTTGTCCACTGTTTCTTGTTCTATTGCTGTGCTTAAGTCTAGTTCAGTTTTCTCTATTTCCTGACATTAAGTAGTTGTCAACAGCAATAGGATCTCTCTTTCTCTGTTCTGAACAAACTATTCTCTCAGTCTCTCCTCATACATCAGATGCTTCTACACCCTTGACATCTTGGTGGCCCATTTGCTGGGCTTGCTCCAGTATGTCTGTGTTGTACTGGGGAGTGCTGAACTGGATGCAGTGTTCTGTGTGTGGTCACAAGCTGCCTAAAGGGAGAATAACTCCTCAGCCTGCTGGCCATGCTTTTATTATGTGCTTGGCAGCCTTCATTCATTACGGGTACATTTTGCTTCTGAAATGACTTGTTTGCTAATGGTTACCTATGCTCTTGTCCTGTTGCAGAGGAAGATGGTGATTGAAGATGAAACTGAGTTCTGTAATGAAGAGCTTTTACGTAGTGTCCTGCAGTGCAAGGTGAGTCCCCTTCTTTAGAGAGGAACTGAAGTTTTGGGGAAGAAAGTCAAATAAATAATTGAAGAGGATTGAGTAATTTATTTAGGTGATTGGCAAGAGCTCAGAACATCCTCTTTCACCTCCATACCACTGGTATGACCTAGCATCCTGGTTCTTGCCATCTGTTCAACAGCCTGTTCTGCACCTCAGCTTTCAAAATGATGGATGGAAACAGTCTTCCTTTCTTAGTCCAGCTGAAAGGCTGAAGACTTGAAAAGGCTGAGGAAATAAGTTCCCTATCTTTTTCTTGTGTGTTCCATCTTCCCTCCTAGATTTTATCATGCCCTTGGAAACAGCAGTAGAGTGTGAGTGTGTCTGTGTGAGAGAAATACCTTAGGCTGGCACTGCTTTTGAGGTGTCTAACCACATTATCAGGCTCTGAAACTATCAGTACAGAATTCTTCAGTGTCACTGAATTTGCTTAAGAGCTGGGGTGGCTTAGAGGAAGAGTGAATATCATTAGGTGAGAGAAAACCATCCTGTATTGGTGAATCAGTCCCTGCACAGAGATTGCTGTCACAAGGAGAGAGAAGCATGAGGATGGGAAGTGCTCGTGCCTGCCTATCCCTCAAGCCTGTGCCAGGTCCAGCTCTGTTTTGTGTCTATTTGTGCAGAGTGTATTTGATGAGCTGGATGGAGAAGAAATGCGTCGAGCCAGAACAAGGTCTAACCCCTATGAGATGATCCGTGGAGCGTTCTTCCTGAACAGGTTTGCAGAACTTCTGGTAGTGTAGCCCCTTTCCCATTCGTGTCCACTTTCAGCCTGGAGAGCCACGGTGGAACTTAATAGATCCTTATTTCTGTGTTCACAGGGCTGCAATGAAGATGGCAAATATGGACCATGTCTTTGACTATATGTTTACAAACCCTAAGGACTTTCAGGGGGTGAGGACCTCTATTTAACTTTGAGACAGCAGTGTTTTCTCAGAGAATGGAGAAGGTGGGGAGAAAGGAGAATCCACAAGATACTAGCTGGGAAAGCAGGTGCCTGAAAGACTTCTCTGAGTAGTGCAGTTGATGGTGTCTCTGGTTCTGCTGATGGGAGCTGTTACTGGCTCAGTAGAATTGCCCTGGTTTGCTTTTGCAGAGGCCTTTGATAAAGGAGCGAGATGCAGAGCTGCTCTACTTTGCTGATGTGTGTGCTGGGCCCGGAGGCTTCTCCGAGTACGTCTTGTGGAGGCGGAAGTGGCACGCGAAAGGATTTGGCATGACCCTGAAAGGACCAAATGATTTTAAACTAGAGGACTTCTATTCTGCTTCCAGTGAGCTCTTTGAACCTTACTATGGTACGTAGGTACGAGTGTTACCTGATGTTCGTGCTTGTGCTGCAGCCTCTGTATTGGGAGTGAGGCTGGTATCGATATCAGCATGGACATCTAAGAGAAGCCTGTTTGTAGGGAACCATTTTGCAAGGTAAAAGGGAGCTGGCATCTGAGAAATGGGTTCAGACTGGAGAGCTTGCCTATCAAGTCATGTTGATGCATTTGTTTCCAGTCTGTCCCGAGAATGTGTCCTGTTCTAATAGTTGATACTTGAGGGCTTTGCTCATCTGAACCCTGTAGAGTGCTTTAAGATGGCTTGACTGTTTTTCTTGCTTCGTAGATGCCAGCCTGACACTCAATGAGTGAGATGACTTGTCACAGAATTGTGGAATGGTTTGGGTTGGAAAGGACCTTAAAAATCATCTAGTTTGAGTGCCCCTGCTGTGGGCAGGGACACCTCCCACTACATGAGGTTGCTCAAAGCCCCATCCAAACTGGCCTTGAACACTTCCAGGGAGGGGCATCCACAGTCTCTCTGGGCAACCTGTTCCAGTGTCTCACCACCCTCATAGCAAAGAACCTCTTCCACGTATCTAATCTAAGTCTATCCTCTGTCAGTTTAAAACCATTATCCCTTGTCCTGTCACTACACTCCCTGATAAAGAGTCCCTCTTCATCTTTCCTGTAGTCCCCTTTAAGTACTGGAAGGCTGCTATAAAGTTTCTGTGGAGGCTGCTCTTCTCTGGGCTAAACAACCTAATTTCTCACAGCCTGTCCTTGCAGGAGGGTTGCTCCAGCCCCCTGCCTTACCCAAAGATCTATTAGCAGAGCTAGACAGAAACCTTGCCTGACTGGCAGTATGCTCTGTATCAGACCTGCCTAGCTTTGCTTTGGTGATTGATTGTGGGCTCTTAGTACAGTTAAATGAAACCAATCAGGCTGTATCTGAACCACAGTGACTAAATGAGCTCCTGAATCCAAAGAGGTTTAAGCTAATATGTTTTACCTTGCTTTGAGACAGACTGAGCAGGTGCACACAGACAGTTACTGCATCTCACCTCATGTGTGGTAATGTGTTAAGCTTGCTGATATGTTTGAACCCTCAATCTGCAAAGCCTTTAGGAACAGGAAGAGAAACACAGGTTTCCTAGTATTCCTGCTTCTTATTTCAGACTGTATGTATATATATTTTGCACCCAGACTTGAGTGTGACAGTGTGACTGTCTTGTAAAGAGGGTTTGCTTTTCCCTTGTTGTGGTCTTTATTTTTCCTCCACCACTCTGACTCTTGTTGACTGCCACTTTTGACACCTGGCCATGAACTCTTACAAAATGGTTAGTGCTTCAGGATTAGATCTGTTAAAGAGAAGGTTCATGGCAAGGGCAGCAAGTCAGGTAAACACATTGTTCTAATGATTGCAGCGTTTGAATCTTCATAATTCACTGCAAACTAGTGGTGTTATGGGGAGGAGGAGATACCTGGAGAAATGAATAGCCCAATGACTTTGATGCATTTTCTTGATCCCTCTCTGTCATGCTATAAAGTCTAGTGAGATGTGTACAAACTCTCTTCCAGTGATGGGAAGAAAGTAGATTGCTGTGATATTTGCGTTGTGAAGAAGGGTAACAAATTCTAGCATCACTTCACTTACTGACAGGATGATTGATGAGGTTTTTAGTTATCAAAGCACTATCTTGCATCCTGCTCTCTGCTGCTTTCTGATTCTCCAGTTCAGTTAATAGAAGCTGTAGGTGTAGAAGATCTATAGGGACTAATACCAAACAGAAGTTCAGGCTTCTTCAAAGTCAGAATTGGTGAGCTCTAGGGCACACCTTAGATTAGCTTTCCAAAACACCAACCTGGGACACAATACACCTTTTAAAAAAAGAACCACACAGGAAACCCTTATGAACATTCATGCACAAACACAATTTCCCTTTCCCTACTCCTCTTAAAAACTTGTTTGTAGTGGGTTTTTTTTGGGTTGCTTTTTTAAATTCCAGATCACATTGTGTTTGGAAATAGAATATTGTGTTTGTTTGGAATGATTTGAATCCTTAGAAGGTTGCCCAGTTTACATGCACAATGTAAATAATTTTGCCTTGCCTGTGAAAATGTGTAAATAACAGGTAAGCTGTGCAGTGAGATTGAACCTTCTGTTTTTAGTAGCTTCAGCTCTGTGTCATCACTGCTTAGATGAGGATATTATGTTGTCATGAAGTCAGCTGTCATCTCAGGGGAGAGCAGTGAATGATTTGTCTTTTGCTGAGGCTAATGTACAAACTCATCATTTGAGCATATGGCTTTGTTTAGCCCTGACCACACAATCTTTCCCAAATTAACAAGCAGCTTTGGTGGTCAACAAGGGAATGTGTTAATGCTTATTTGCCTGTCGAGGTCTGTGTAATTTGTGACTAAATGCCAGTTGACTGCAATAGATGACTTGCACATACTGATCTTTTGTCTGTCTGTACTGCAAGCACGTTAGTAATTGTCTCCTCTTTTCCCCTTTCGAGAGGGAGGGATTGATGGAGATGGAGACATCACCCGCCCAGAGAACATCACTGCTTTCCGCAATTTTGTGTTGGACAATACTGATCACAAGGGAGTGCACTTCTTAATGGCTGATGGGGTTGGTCCATTTCTTTTTCTTCCTGCACTAATGATCAAAACTGCTACCTCAGTCTGCATAGAGCAGGATATTTGACATGTGCCCATAGTTGTCATATGCAGTTCTTCAAGGCTTGCCATTAAAATTACTGGTTGGTGGTGTTTTTTACCTTAAGAAAACAGGAGTTATCATGATTCCATGATTTAGCTATATAGAGTCCTTTGTTTGACCAACAGATTTATGGAGGTACTAATCACATGCTATATGTTCTGCAGGGTTTCTCAGTGGAGGGTCAGGAGAATCTGCAAGAAATCCTAAGCAAACAGCTCATGCTTTGCCAGTTTCTTACAGCACTGTCCATTGTCCGGACAGGTATGTTGTGTACCTTAACCTTTTTCCTTCTTCTCTAAGGTGTGGGTGGCCTTCTGGAAGGATGCTGTCCTGTTTTTGTTAACATGCCACACAGTCTGCTCTTCAGAGAGGCTAAGCTGTGCAGACTTGAGTATGTACACATGTACCCTGGGATGGTTGTCACAAAGCTGTGAGAACTGGGGCAGAAAAATAAGATTATCTGTGCCTGTTTCGCTTTTAATTAAAAGCGTGAGGTAAAACTCACTAGTTTAAAGCTCTTGCAATGTGTTATGTAGCTGTCTTGGACTAAGGTAACTGGTGTGATAACTGGACAGTATACCTGAGTTTTGTGGCACTAGCTGGAACAACTGCTTCCTCAATATTCTAGCAGATTTGTTGGAACAGTGAGTGATGTTTATCCATTTCATCTTTCCCTCTAATTTCTGGCTTTTCTCCTTTAAATCTGCCATCTCTGATTGGAACAAGATGATGTCTCACGTTGTCTTAGCTGTACCTCATTGTTGCCAAATGATGGATGTTACAGCTCTGTCTGGTTTTGATGGCTCCTCTCTTCTGCTGAGTTTAGTTACAGCATTTAGCAATGATGCAGAAGATAAAAATGCTTATTACGTTTTCATTTATATTGTGCCCTATGTTTAGAAGTACCTGAGGCAATAATCTACTTAGTCACAAATGTGATATGGTAAAAGGAGCAACCTTCTTTCAGTCTTTCCTATCTGAATAGATAATAGCTCTGTAAGACTGATTGCTTTTTGCTTGGGGAAATTGGAAATATTATTTGAAGGCAAGGGGCAACATAGGCTCTTTTCTTTCTAGATGGGCAGTTACTCTGTTTAGTTAACATCTCTTTTCTCCTCTGCCCGAGGTTTCTTGTTGCATGTATCTGAGCTCCTCTCCTGTTGAAGCTTAGGCACAGCAGCATGTTGTGCTATAGGGTGCAGTTTGGGCCTGGAAGGGGAGGGTGTGGCATGGATAGAAGGTTTGCTTGTGAGGCAGCTCGTGTTCTGATTTGATCCTGCTCAGGGAAATGCTTTTCTCTTGGCTGCAGAGGTATGGGGAAGGTGATTCACTGGCCCATTTAATTGAATGTGGTTTAGGTGCCGTCTAATTGTACAAAAACACTCTCACCAGTTCTGCAGAGGTGCCTGGTATCTTCTTGTTTCCTTCTAATCTGCTGGTATCAATATGCTTCCTCTTTTTTTTTTTTTTTTTCCAGGAGGACATTTTGTCTGCAAAACCTTTGACCTGTTTACTCCATTCAGTGTGGGACTTATCTATCTGCTGTATTGTTGCTTTGAGCGAGTGTGCATCTTTAAACCTGTGACAAGCCGCCCTGCTAACTCAGAGAGGTGAGATTCTTCAGCATGAGGGACTATGAAAGAAATCCCATCCTTTAAATAGAGTGGTGAATAGATTTGGATAACTTCAGTGGAAGCTGTGACCTGCCTCAACTGGCAGCTGTCTTGAAGGAGGAAACACTTTAGATGCTTAGCAAATTGTGGTGTCTGACAAGATAAAGAAGATATTTGCCAAGTTACTGTTCTGGGGAGAAAGCAGCAGAACTGAATATACAGCAAATTCTGCTTTGCATAAACCAACCATGGTTCTAATGAAGCTGGCGTGTGTTATCGTTGTACTTGTCAAGTTTAGCAGAGTTGTTTTACCACTTGAGGAAGATCTCTGGGTTGTTTCAATAGGATTGAGTTTCTCGGTTTTTCCAGAGGACAGAAAATATGTAATGACTTTGTGATAGGTGAGACCGCCCCTTCCTAGGGGTACTTGTGAGGAAA